CTCCTTTAATTGTTTGTTATTGTTATCACGATTATTCTTTAAAATAAAGTTATATAGTCATTAACGTTATTGAAACTGACAGCTGCTATACAGCTCGTTGAGAAATGAGGTTAAGTTGGTCGCTATAAGCTACTCCCTACGTCCAATGTGTCAGAGCCAACTTCGACCACGTGTTTATTTGAACGCTCGTTATAATTGTTGGATACCTACTGGAAAAGATGAATATTTGATAATTTCTAAATTGTACTACTTGTACCACCTATATTGTTTCACTTTGAATAAGGTGTTAAAACAAATATTCCAGTTTCGAGAACACCCAGTAATGCCTCGGTCGCTAGGGAACAAACGGCAAATGTTATAGAAACCTGTTTAGATGTATACATGTAGGTTGAACGAAAATATTTTGAAATACACAGTGTGTTCAGGAAAAGCGTACTATATCAATGTTATGTATTTTTAAATAGAACACATTTTACTGCATTTTTGAGAGCACCATAAAAAAATTAGGTGAACTTTATTAAAGGTTCTGCATACCTACGACTTATTGTTTGTGAGATATTTCAATTTTAGGGCAATGCAGGCTTAGCGTAGAAATTTAATAAAACGAAACGGCACAAATAACCTCAATACCGTTAGAGATAAGTATAAGGAACCTATATACAGTTTGAAAGAGTTTTAAATTTCCTAACTTCCAAAGTAAAAATATACTGGGTATCCCTCTCAAAATACCCAAGTTATTGCTGTTTAAAATTGAGAAAAGTATCCAGCAGTTTTTTGAACACCCGTATAATACTAAGTTACAACAAATATAATAATTTATAACTTAAAATATCTAAAATACACTCTACAAAGCTACTTCCTTAAAATTATATTTTTATCGCTAATATCAAATTTCTACGCTAAGCCTGCATTTTCACTAAAATTGAAAAATCCCACAAACAATAAGTATGCAGAACCGTTAATAAAGTTCACCTATTTTTTACGATGCTTTCAAAAATGCAGTAAAATACAGAGTGTTCCATTTAAGAATACATAACTTTGATATGGTACGCTTTTCCTGGACACCCTGTATATTTCATAATATTTTTAAAATGTAGCCGTGTTCATCCTACACATACCCACCTAAACAGGTTTCAATAACATTTGCCGTTTGGTCCCTAACGACCGAGGCGTTACTGGTGGCCCACCCTGTATAATACGAATGAATAGTATTTGTAAATTTTATTCAGAAGTAAAGAAATATTTCGTTTTATGTTTAACACAAGACTACAGGGCATTGAAATAATGGACGTTAATTTCAAAATTCTAAAAATCTCTGAACTGAGATTACTGCAAAACAGTGCATCGTATCGAAAGAAAGACTAGTAAGAATCTTTTTTATTCTAGTATGTTGTTTCTAGTAGAATCAGTCATTTCGAATCAAGGATATGTACTTTGCAAGCTGTAATTATAACTGCTTATTTTTGAAACGCTCACATTTATAAAAAAAAATCACATTGATAGGTACACTGTTCCATCCTAAAACATGTTGTCATTCTTTTAGAAGATCTACTACACTGCGCATTTTAGAAATGTGCATACCTATGTCTATTATTAGTCAGTATATGTCAATCAGGATTTATTAAAATACCTGAACTATTTTAGGTATTCATTGTGTATTATTATCTCATTGTTCTTTTTTACTTTTGATCCAAATTCTGTAATCGATACATCATTAGGTACCTACTTATTTTCACATGTATGAAACTCTAACTTATCTGTTTGAAGAGTTCAATATACGAGGTCTGTTCAGAAAATAACCGAACTTTTTTTTTAAACTTTTTGAAAAGTTTCCAGAAAATCGCACGTTTCTAAAATCGTCACTAACACTTAGCACTCAAATAACAATATCGCGGAAACTAAATGAGATATCAACATTCCAAGAATTTGTAGTTACAGAGGAGGTTTTGCTCAACACAATGCTGCCAACGGTATATCACTAAATATCTCCATTGGCGTGTAATTCAAAAAGTTCGGTTATTTTCTGAACAAACCTCATAAATAAACAGGTACATAAAAATGGACAAACAAATAATTAAGTAAATAAAGATTGTAACGGGAATCAACTGCTTATTGTGTTTCATTACTAAATTTTGTGAAAATTTTAGCGGTATTATTTATACAGGGTGGGCCACCAGTAACGCCTCGGTCGCTAGTAACCAAACGGCAAAGGCTAAAGAAACCTGTTTAGGTGGGTATGTGTAGGTTGATTACGGCTATATTTTAAAAATATTTTGAAATATACAGGGTGTCCAGGAAAAGCGTACCATATCAAAGTTATGTTTTTTTAAATGGAACACCCTGTATTTTACTGCATTTTTGAAAGCACCGTAAAAAAATAGGTGAACTTTATTAAAGGTTCTGCATACCTAGGACTTACAGTTTGTGAGATATTTCAATTTTAGTGAAAATGCAGGCATAGCGTAGAAATTTAATATTAGCAATAAAAAAATAATTTTAAGGAAGCAGCTTTGGAGGGTCTATTTTAGATCCTTGAAGTTATAAATTGTTATATTTGTCGTCACTTAGTATTATACAGGGTGTTCAAAAAACTGCTGAATACTTCTCTCAACTTTAAACAGCAATAACTTGGTTATTTTAAATGGAACACCCAGTATATTTTTACTTTGGGAGTTGGGAAATTTAAAACTCTTTCAAACTGTGTATAGGTTCCCTATACCTATCTCTAACGGTATTGGAGATATTTGTGCCGTTTCGTTTTTTATCGATTTTTTTTGTAAGATGTATCCACGTGTCTTTATCGAGGTCTTTACTGAATTGGTTTGGGTTCTTCTTGATGACGTCTCTTTAAATATAAGGAGAAAAATGTGAATGCAAATAGATGGCGCACCTGCACATTTTTCATATTCAGTGAGAAATTATATAAATCGATAATTAAGTAATAAATGAGTAGGTAAGAATGGTCCATGTCAGTGGCTACCACAGGTGTCCAAACCTCTCGTAATGGACTTCTTTGTTTCGGGCTGTATAAAAATATATCTTGTACACAGTGTTCCACCTACTACTTGCGATGATATGAAGGAAAGGATTAGATATGCATTTGCCACAATCACCCCAAATATTCTAAGGAATGTGAGAATATCATTTGAAGATAGAATAAGATGCTGTATTCAAGAGAATGGTTATCAATTCGAACATCTATTAAAATTTTTCTTTGTTTCTTCTAAAAGTAAAATTTTCTTTAATAAATATTTTTCATGTTCATAAATAATTCAGTTACTTACTACAAACATATTTATACAAAATTAATAACTTTTTATAATTATTCTGCTTATAAAATAATATTTTTTATTAGAAAACTTTTTTGAATATTTTCATGATAATGATAAAAGGAACTTCTACTTTTAGAAAAAACAAAGAAAAATTTTAATTGATGTTCGAATTGATAACCATTCTCCTGAATACAGCATCTTATTCTATCTTCAAATGATATTCTCACGCAAATGCATCTCTAATCCTTCCCTCCAATATCATCGCAAGTAATAGGTGGAACATTGTATACAAGATTTTTTATATAGCTCGCAACAAAGAAGTCCATTACGGTGAGGTCTGGACACCTACGTGGCCACTGACATGCACCATTCCTACTTATCCATTTATTACTAAATTTTCGATTTAAATAATTTCTCACTGAATATGAAAAATTTGCAGGTGCGCCATCTAATTGCATCCTCATTTTTCTCAATATATTTAAAGAGACGTCATCAAGAAGAACCCAAACCAATTCAGTAAAGACCTCGATAAAGACACGTGGATACATCTTACAAAAAAAATCGATAAAAAACGAAACGGCACAAATATCTCCAATACCGTTAGAGATAGGTATAGGGAACCTATACACAGTTTGAAAGAGTTTTAAATTTCCCAACTCCCAAAGTAAAAATATACTGGGTGTTCCATTTAAAATAACCAAGTTATTGCTGTTTAAAGTTGAGAGAAGTATTCAGCAGTTTTTTGAACACCCTGTATAATACTAAGTGACGACAAATATAACAATTTATAACTTCAAGGATCTAAAATAGACCCTCCAAAGCTGCTTCCTTAAAATTATTTTTTTATTGCTAATATTAAATTTCTACGCTATGCCTGCATTTTCACTAAAATTGAAATATCTCACAAACTGTAAGTCCTAGGTATGCAGAACCTTTAATAAAGTTCACCTATTTTTTTACGGTGCTTTCAAAAATGCAGTAAAATACAGGGTGTTCCATTTAAAAATACATAACTTTGATATGGTACGCTTTTCCTGGAGACCCTGTATATTTCAAAATATTTTTAAAATGTAGCCGTAATCAACCTACACATACCCACCTAAACAGGTTTCTGTAACATTTGCCGTTTGGTCACTAGCGACCGAGGCGTTACTGGTGGCCCACCCTGTATAGTGTAATCTACATTGTTATTGCTATACTTAGATTTCGTCAAAAATAGCTTATAAAGCAATATTTGTTTAATTATTTTTATCGATGAGACGTGTTTTTATTTTTCTTAAAATTTTTTATCCATGGTATGTCTTATTAAACCAACAGATTGAACCTCGTTCTACGAAAATTGTTGCAAAGATAATTAGAAGCGGCGTGTTGCAATATTCTATGAGTAATTGGTGGTAAATCATTTAATCCTCGGCAGTCAGGGATACAAGATAACAAACTTTATAAATATCTAACATGACAGGGTAATATTTTAAGTTTCTCTACAACAAACATTTATTTATTTTAAACAAATAAATTTAAACATGTGACAGAAAACTCTATTGTCAATCCAAAAATATATTTTTATCTTTTTGACTGATTAGTTTAATTGCGAATATTGCGTTTTGAATATATTAGTATTAATTATAAAAATAACATTGCCGTTCCGCAACACTTACATCGTTTTCGCTATAACGAATCGAATTCAATTCCAAACAAAATAAACGATTTACTAACTTTTTCAATTACCTTAAACTCTGGTGATGTTGAAAATATTTGTGCTAATACTTGAAACTTGCGAATCCAGCACCTCAAACAGGATGTTTTCATTCCTCTCAACCCTACATTCTAAAATTTTTAATAAGTTTTCGGCTTGCTTCAGTACCAACTGTTTCTCACTGTGGACATCAGCTTTGCTGCTTTTGATTTTGTTGATTTCTGTCAAAGAATTTGATAGTTTACCGTTAATCTCCCGGTAGCTTAAATCTCTTTTGAGTCCCCTGAATTTGGGAATTTCTTCTTCAATTTTTTCCAGTTCTTCCTTCATAACATTCAATTTTTGGCAATGGTCATCCTCCACTTTAATTTTTCGTTCTACCTTATTTAATTTGGTGCAATATTCGACTAAAAGTGTGTTGACTTCCTCGAAGGTCTTCTTCAAATCTTCTATTTCGTCAGAATCTACGTCTGAATCATTTTCGATAATTTCGTTCAAGCTATCCCAATTCCTCTGAAACTTTTTTAAAATTCTCTCCTCGTTTGTAGTCCTCCTTGGCAAGGGCATTGGACTTTTTGGGGGAACTGGGTAAACATCCTTGCCTTTTTTATTTGGAACACTTTCTTTTTTGTTTTGTTGGAACTGTAGTTCTAGGTTTTTATAATTAGTAAGATTCGAATACTTAGATATCTTTGCATAACCTTGCTGGTTCGTTACTTCCTTGTCCTTTTTGATATAATGGTAGTTTTTATCAATACCAGGTGACTCTGCAACTGAAACTGGATTCAAATCGACTTTATGTACAAGTTTGCCATCCAAAACGTCACCTAAACTATTACGTTTAAACGTTTTCATCAACAATGGTGGTTTATCGTCACTGGCAACTGTGCTTCTGTTTTCACAACTGTTCCTTGTTTTGACCTCCATAATCATTGTTTTAGGAGCCTGTGCATTAGTATTCGGATCAAATGAGGTCTTTCCCAATTCGGAAGATTTTCTCACAGAGATTTCCCCAGCGGGATGACTTACTGGTTCAGTAGATTTCTTCACCACTTCTTGTTGACTGATATTCTCTCTTTTTATAAAGGTAAATACAGTTTGTGATTTTTCGTTTTCCAAAAATTTGCATTCCCTCTCATATAAATAAATACCTTTTCTCTGCTTTCCGACTGGACTAAGAAGAGGATTGTTGTTGTGAATGTTTTCATTACTATTTGATTTGTTCTCTGCTTTACTTTTATCTTCCTCAAGGGAAGTTCTTTTTAACACTTGTGGTTTACTGTTTTGTCTAACTGTAACAGAATTTGATCTTATTCCTTCATAGTCACCAGTTAAATCTTCAGTAGACGATCCTACAGACTGTGTAGTTGTACAATTGAATTTGTTTATGAACTTTTTTGTAGAAGATTGCTTGGACTTATCTACAGACTCGTTACTGTTCTTTCTGGACAATTTTGGAGTTCTTGGAACACTGACCTTATCTTTTGATCCTATTTCTTCACTTACAACAATTTGCTTTACTTCTGTCACGTGGTCTTCGACAATGGACTTGAAGGTAGTTTTCTTTTCTTCTTTTGTTTGTTTCATGGACATTATCGCGTCTTCTATCTCATTTCCTTCTTTATTTTTCTTTTCCCTCTCCTCGGAAAGTTTACTTTGTTCTACAACAAAGGTGCTGAGCCTGTCTAGTCTCTTTTGCCTCATCGATTTTAATTTTTGTTCAACCTCACCCAGAACCACTTTACCTTGAGAGGTGTTGGGAGACTCATTACTCACTTGCGAAACAAATTTTCTTCTAAAAAATCTAGGAGACTGGGGCACACTTGTTCCTGGTTCTTTATCAGTTCTGTTCATGTTTACTTCTAACTAAAAATAGCACAAATATTAAGTGACACAGAAATTGTGTGTTAGTTATTGACGTTATTAAAATTGTCTGTTAAATTTCTGCCGCGGTATCTTATCTTGTTTGCTCTCAGATAAGATATGCTGTCGGATGAGATTATTTGGCGAAGAATAGAGTTTTTGTTCGTTTATCTTAAGTTCTAAATATTTACTAATTTCATCTACGATAAAAGTCTTCCATTGCACATTCATTTATTTTTTTATAGGGAAATCAATAAAATATGAAATTATATAATATAAATATATTTCAAATACCAATATTTTGAATACAAATCTGTAACGAATTAACAATTTTTTTAGACACTAACAATACTATAGCTTAATTCGACTGTGTAACTGCCTTATCTTTTAATAATCTTAAATATTTATTGATCCTATCAGCACATCTGTTCTTCCTTTGCATCAAATCCTCATTTACTCGTAGCTTTCCAAGTTTCACCTGTAGGGAAATCAACTGTTCGTCTATAGCACCTTTATCATCTTCCCTAACTGTACTTTCAAACATTTCATCAATCATGTCCAGAGCTTTTTCAATATCCATAACACTTGAGAAGTCCAAACTTCTCTCATCTAAAATATTAAAGCATTCGTCTATGGCTTTCTCCAGTTGATGCTGCTTTGCAATATATTCCGAAGGAAGCTTGTTCAATCTCATCTTCAGCCTCAGTAGTGTATCCTCGATGATCTTGTAATCTTCACTAGTGTCAGTGTTGTTAAATTTTGTAGCCTTTTGTCGTACCAGATATATTTCGTTTTCGATTTCTGCTAATCGAGCTGTAACACCTTGCATGTTCGGTGACATTATGGTTTTATTCAAGTTATTCTCTACATCTTTAAAAAAAGATGTACTGCCTATGTAGTCTTTCGGTACTACTTCTTTGGCTTTCTTAAAACGGATATATTCTCCAATTAAAATGTTCAACTTTTGGTCTATAGGTTTCTTTCTGTTTTCGTCAATTTTTATGTTGTTAATTTTTGCCTGTACCATCTTCAGTTGGGTTTCAAGTGCCTTTAGTTCTTCATCTTTACCCCTGTAATTTTCTACCATTTTATTTATGTGATTTAACTGCTTGTCTATTTCTTGAATTAGTTCAATTTCTTTGGCTTTATTATATAAAATTTCTTTGTAGCTGTGCATTTCCTTTAGTAATGCTATTTTTCTAGAACGTAGTTCGCTATCCTGTGCTAACTGAAGAGTATCTAATTTGAAGAACAAAGCTGTTAAACTGGTGTTAATGTCGTAGTACGTGCTGTGAGAGTGAGTTCCATAAAAGAGGTCAATATCTTTCTTAATTTGACCAAACTGTGACTCGATATCCGATAAGAGTTTATCCTGAATAATTTCAACGTTTATCATTTCCTGATTTTCACTTGTGCCTTGTTTATTAGCTTCAATTTTCTCAAAAACAGCTTCAATTCCTTTAATACAAGCTTGTTTTCTTTGGGAAAGGTTTTGGTTGTATTGGGTATTAACTAACTTGTTTTTCAAGTCAGTAACTTTTTCTTTAAGGGTTTCCAAATCGTTCAACTTTAAATTTCTTGCAAAATTCTTTTCTATGTCATGTAAAGCTCTTTCTATATCTGAAAGGTCTTCAGATTCTTTAGCTCTTTGATCCAGAAGGTCTCCGTAATTGTAAATATCTTTTAATAAATCAATTTTTTTCTTGTGAGCTTCAGAGCCTCTTTCAAATTGTAATTTGTCCATTTTTAATATCAACCTTATAGAGTTTTCATCCAGTTCGTAGAATTTATTGTCTGAAGTTGTGCCTACGAAACTTTCTATTTCTGGTTTAATGTGCTTAAACCTTTCCTCGATTTTCTTTAGTTCTTCTAGTTCCATTTTGTCCTTGTTTTCTTGCATCGACAATTGTCTCATGGCCTCTCGAGCGAGTGAAATTTTTGCCTCTACTTCGTTCTTCAAGGTTTCCACTTCGTTGTATAAGACATCCTTTTGATTTTCTTCTTCCTCTAATGAAAATCTGAGTTGATCTAGTCCAAACTTAACCAGATCCAAACGGCTTTTTAACTTTAAAAATCCATCTTCAGCATTGGCAGGTGTAGTATCAATCGTTGCTTTTATGTTTAATAAATCTATTTTTAACTTGGTCAGTTTCTCTTCATCCTCACTTTTAGACTTTGTTTCACTTATGGTTCGGCGGAAGCTTTGATCTTTCGTGGCTCTGTGCTCTAAAATTTTCAGGTGTTTCTCTACGTCTTTCGTGATATCATTTGAAATGATTTCATCGCTTATACTTGCTGTGACATCTACAAGTAGTCTGTTAAGATCTTTCTCTATCTGGTTATATAAAACACCTCCATAAGCTCCTGTAAATCTATTGACCTTGCCTTTTAAACTGTTTAATTTCTCTTTGGTGTTTAGTAACTCTGGATCGTCGTAGTAATTAAAACATTTGCTTTCTAAAATATTGAAGGTAACTGCAATTTTATTTAGAATTTCCTCCCTTTGTTGATTTATCATGTCGTACTTCGGAGGAATGTCTATGCTTCGAAGATATTTTCGACATTCAGAGAGATCTCCCACTATCTTTTTATATTGTGGATCACCCTTTTTGCCGTCAAATTTTGCCACAGCTTCTTCCAGTCGTTCGACGGATCCCTGAATACCGACTACGTTTTCAAAGGACAATTCTATGGATGCTCTTCTTTGGGACGTATCATTCATTGCGTCTGAAATCTGGGTCATGTTTTTCAGCATCTCTTGGATATCTGCCAATAGAGTTTTGGCGCTATCCGCAACCCTTTGATTCTGATGGTGGATGTAATCGTTTATTATTTCGATGTAAGATTCCAGCTTATTTTTCAAGTGCTGCTTCTGCTGGCTTTCTGTAAACTTTTCTTTTATGTAGTTTACTTGTGTTTTAATCTCTTCCATTTTGGAAAACGGCCTGCTGTCATTGGGACTGCTGTTATTTCGGTAAAATTGTTTGTTTCTCAACACTACAGGTTGATCGTTGATGTTTTGTATCTGAGGTGTAGAGATATTATAGACTTTTACTTTTGTTCTTATTAAAGATTGATTTGACTGGTCTACACTAAGGCTACTTCCGAATTTAGAGTGCAGTGATTTGGGTGAAGTTAGGTTTGGAGTAGAGTAATTTAATTTTTTGTTAAGGACGGAAGGCAAACTCGCACTCTCAGCTAGTCGATGCCTTGTTTGTTCAATTGACTTTTGGATGTCACTCAAGACTTTGTCTACTTCTGAGAAGTCGTCCAGAGATGTTAGATTTATGCTTTTCTGAAGAGATTTCCAATTATTGTAAAAGCTCTCTAGTTCCATAATTTTTTTGTTTTCTTCTTTATCATTCAGTTCCACCTCAGTATTTTCTATTTTTTGTTCATTTTCCATTATGAACGAAAACGATTGTCTGACTTTATTTAAGAGCTGTTGTTTGCCTCTCAAAATGGTTTCGTTGTCATCTTTAATACTGTTTATGAAGCTCTGTAAGCTTTGCAGTTTTATTTTTATTTCGTCTTTATCTATACTGTTTCCACTAGCAATATTGGTTATTATTTCTTCATAGTTCATCTTAGCTTTGGTAAGATCAGAGTGACTACTATCTTTTGTACATTCATCGATGCTCTTTAAGATATCAGCAAGCTTTTTCATTAATTTCATCTGCATTTGTTTTGTAGACTCATCTACTGATTCCACAGATGACAATCGCTGTTTAATGATTTGGATATTTTCTCGCAACCTAATTACGCTTGACTTGTCATTGTTTTCTGTTAGGGTTGATACTGCAGCATCTATGTCAGATATTTCTTTTTGAATGTCTTCCAGTTCTTTCACAGACCTCGCATTCTGTTTTACCAAATAATTGATGTCCTTGTCTCTTCTGATTTCCTTCATAGTTTTCGTGATTTTGTGATGTTGAGCCACAATGCTTTTATCCAATTTCTTTTTCTTATCGTCTAAAGGTGTGTGTTCTCTGACGTCTATCATTTCTAAATCGGTTGCAAGCACTTTGATGGTTTCCTGATGTACTCTCAACTGAGTGAGGTCCCTCTGTTCAATCGCAATATTGATCTGGGGTTTGAGAGCCCTCAGTTTTTCCTCGATATCTTGTAGTGTGGGAATGGACGGCTTGACAAAGTCTATCTGGATGTTCTTCGGCCTCTTAGCTGCAGAATCCGACAGATCTTTATTAGACATTTGCCTCTTGCTAACAGAGAGCTGGACGAAAGAACTGGTCTCCACAGCGCCCATGTCTAGGTCCTGTTCTTGTGCGTTCTTGGACAAAACGTCTTCCATAGCGTGCGAAATGTTGCTCTGAACTTGCTCTAGATACCTAGTTTTCACCTTGCCTTTCAAGGCGTTTACTTCATTCGAGCATTGCACCAGTTCCTGGATGATCTGGTCCTTGTTTTCTTTGGTGTATTTTCGGTTTGAGCGCAGACTGGTTCGTAGGGAAGTGACTTCTCGGTTGATTGTGCCCAGCTTGTCGCTTGGCTTTGAATTCGGATGACCCATATTGGCCTGAAAATGGACAGTCTTAAAATTTTTCGTTACTACTATTTTAGTCAATAGAATTATATTTTAAAAGGAGCTCAAGCTGTACTCGTGCTTGTTCTATGTCGAAAACTAAGTAGATATTAAAATAGTTTAAAGATAAATTATCTGTAGGAAGTTTAGATAATCCTATGAAGATATAACTGATTCAATAATTTAATCTAAATTTCTGTTATTTAAACTAATTTTGTTCGGAAAAATATAATCCATAATAAATGATTACATAACTATGAGTAGGTACTTAAATATAGACGGCTTACTTGCAACAAAAGCATTTTGATTGCAGTGTTTTGTTTTTTCGTAATTTTTAAGTGCCTAAAAACTACTAAATTTAAACATTCAGGAATATGATGCCCCTAGCCTTGATTACAGCAAGAAGAGAAATTGAAAATCTAGAAAGTTCTAGTACAGCATTGCTTGGTTTTCTCTTATCATTTAGCGCATTCGTAAAGTATACAACAGTAGTACATTCATCGACCACTGTCATAATATGTATGATTATACAGGGTGATTCAGGTGTAATCTGGATAACTTCAGGAATCCATAGAACACGTTAAAATAATGTTCATTCATGATATAAACTTATTTCCTAAATCGCAGCGTTTCGGAGATAGAGGGCGTCGAAGTAGGAATTTTTTTAATTATTTTTTTTTAAGTTTTGAAATAATTAAGAAGGGGGTAGCACACAAAATACACTTCTAAGAGGGATAGTGGTTAAATCTTAAGAAGCTTATATAATATCATAAGAGATGTTTGTGTTCCGAATTTCACTTCAATCGGATGAAATTAAGAGTTATGAAGGAAAAATGGGAAAAAAATTCCTACTTCAACGCCCTCTATCTCTAAAACGGTGCGATTTAGGAAATAAGTTTATATAATGGATGAACATTATTCTAACCTGTTCTATCGATTCTTGAAGTTATTCACATTAAACCTGAATCATCCTCTATAAGCTACGTTTTAAGTTTTAAGTTTTAATGATCTACGGACATAATAATAGTTTAATATTTTTTTAGTTGACGAAGTGGCGGTAATTTTGAATTATTCAAAATCTATATTTTCGTTTTAAGAAAAGAATAGGTTCAAAATTATTAGGAGCAATTTTTGAATGCCAAACACAATTTTAGTATTCAAAACAACTCTATACAGGGTGATTCACAACTTATCCAAAAAAATTTGGGAATAGATGCGGCATGAGAAATGGAGTCAATATCGTAAAAAAATTTTTGTAAAATCCTTTATGGTTTCCGAGAAAAAATTACTGAAGTTATAGTACATTCAACTACTACACAGCTGGAGAACTGTAGTCTCTAGTGTCATTCGCAATACGCGTAGAGAGCCACGTGGCCTCAGCAACTCCGAATACTGAAATCCGATTTTGCAATTGTCGTTGCGATAGTGTTTACCTGTTATCTATGGTGTTTACAAAAGTTTTTTAGTAGTTAGTGTCAAAAATGGTTTGCATGTATAGTAATTCGAAGTTTTAATTTATGGTGAAGCAAGACAACCTTTGTATTAGTTCGTAGAAACTGAGTAAAACGGACCCAAATGTGTTTACACGTTGGTAGATAAAATTTTGAACAATTGTTGTTGTAACATCGGGTATGTCAAATGATTTTTTTATTTAGAACCACAAATTAATTTTATTAATTAATAACAACAATAAAGACAAAAGCAGTTGAATTTGCCGATATAAAATAGGTGCTATAAAATTCTATTTATTTCTTGCATTGAGAAAGTTTTTTTGTCCATTTTTACGAAGTCAGGTTTTACAGTAGACCAGTTTCCAGTGTCGTGTAGAAGTGTATTTTTAAATAATTTTCGAACTGCTCTTTTTGATTTTTTCTTTACAAAATTGTATTTGTAAGGGTCCCCTGTACATCCAGATTTTTTTTTTTTTTGATAAGTTCTGAATCACCCTGTATCCATCAATGTTTTAATAACCTTTAAAAAAATGTGGTGAGCTTTTATAAGCTTTCCTAGAAGTCGTGATCTAAAATCAACAAATTTTAATTGATCGTTACTTGATGATTAATTTCTGATATAATTTCGAGAATATATGTGTCTAAGCTATTTAGCTGATATGAAACGAGGTAATTATTTTTTTCACAACACGATTAAAACTTTACGATTCGAAATCCCTGATAATATCTATACTTTTCGATATTTAAAAAAATTGGAGTAGTTGGATTGTGGTCATTTCTTAATTTTTTTAAAAATTTAGAAATTTATATATGAAATTAAGTTTACAGCAAAATGTTTAATGTTTAGGGACAAGGAGTAGATTTTATAAATAATGTTTTCTTAAGTTCTGTTTAGGAAGTAATTATAGGATATGTAACTTCCCGGAAATTTCAATAATTTTGAAAATATGCAAATGTTACAATACTTTAATCTAAATTTTTGTGATTTTTTTTCAAAAAATATTAGTAACCCAAAAGAAGAGCCTTTGGTAAAATATTTATTAAATTTATCATACAAATTAAATCTACATTAGGGTGCTTATTTGAAACACAGGTATTTTTTGAGTTTTGAGTTGAGGAAAAATTGCAACATATTTCACGCCTCTTTTGATTTTTATATCAACTTTCCCATTTCGATTTTAGGGAAAAATCTTATATAATATGATTAAACAGATAGGTACACTTTATGAACAGGTATGGCTACAATCATCATTTTTTTAAAGGCTTTCAAAGGGTTTTGTATTTTTGATGAGAATTACCATGGCTCAATCTTTGTTCTCGGACACCTTGTATAAATATTCGAGTCCTTCAAACCTAACAGGGGTAAAATATTATCAGATACCAAACAAATCTACTCACAAGACGTGTGCTACTATAAACAAATCAACAATATAGAAAACTGTACATCACATCTCTTTCCAGATAACGTTAAGTACAGCATTGACACAAATTCCAAATTAAAAAACTTAAAAAACCCAATCATTTAAACGATTGCCGCCACTCAAGGTTGTCACAAAACGTCTCCGTCGAACCAAAATGCTATCGTCCGCTAAAATTAACATCAACACAGATTTACTTACCGGATATTACCAAGTTCTGTTAATATTTTCACGCAAAAGTCAACGTATAACAACATACCTCAGCCATAACTAATCGCAGTTATCTCGTTGTCGTAGAGATAAAGGTTGCTATCAATTGTAAACAATGGTGAAACAATTATAACTGGGATTTCTACGCCTAGACCTTTAATTGGGTTAACTAGAACTCGGCATTGTTAAACACTTGAAAATATTGTCTGGAATGGCGTTCTGGACAACAACTGCTAACACACACACAGAATGAATGTTTCACATTGGTAGTAGGATAGTAGGAATAATCTTTATTTCTCGAACCGCTACATATATTAAATAGCAGTGCTGGTAATCACAACACAAACGATAACACTGCATAGTCCTGATATAGCGAATTAGAACAGTCTATGCGAAGTACTTGAATACAGAGTTGATTTAAAAATTGTTTAAACAAATAAATAGCAAATCGGCAATAATTTCCAAATGTCATATTCATGTGTTAGGATAATTAACGATTAAAAGTCGAAACAATTACTTCGAAAATAGGATATATTCAGATTGAACATACAACACTCGACCAGTCGTCAAGCAAGTCAACAAGTGAGTCCCCCTTCAAAAATCCCTTACACGTAACTAATTCTTTCTAGTCTACACTACTTGACATTAACATAAACANGCAGCCCTTACAGGTATAGAAACTTTATCGTCTTGAATCCCTTCGATTATGCTGTCAATGACATATTCTTCAGGAATTTCGAGCTGTAGTTTATTAAGTTTGGCGGCTTTCTCATAACAATAGTCACCCAAATTTTGCCCAGAAGAAGGACCGTAACAAGCAGCTTCAACAAGTAATTTACCAAACCTTATTGGTGTCGGAAAATTTTGAATTAATAAATTTTTCATTTCCTGCCATCCCAGACATGAACTGGTTAGCGAATCGTACCACCCCCCCGCGTTACCACGCAATCTACTAGTAGCTAACTTAACGGTTGTCGTGTCTGTCCATTTATAATACATTTTTAGTTCATCGATTTTGTTAACCCAATTTGTCACACTTTGCACATTGTCTTTACCCGGTTCAAACAACGGAATTACAGATTCATCGACATTAACAACACTTTGTGTACTTACAGTTTGTCGTAATCCTTGCAATTCCCTTTTTAACTTTTTAACCAACCCTCGGGTACTTTTGTCTGTGTCACGTGGAGGCGGCGTCAAACTAGGCGATGAGCTGGAGGATCGGGAAGGTGTTGAGCGACGTCGAGCCCGATGTTTACGTTTTGAAGAACGACCCATTGTCACACAAACACACAAAATCAAAAACTGGGATCACGCCTAATTAGGTCACAAAATGAGGTCACAAAACCCGCACAAGTACACAACACTGCCAGGAAGCGCCTTGGAGTATATCCCACCGCTGCCTTTGTTAGGATAATTAACGATTAAAAGTCGAAACAATTACTTCGAAAATAGGATATATTCAGATTGAACATACAACACTCGACCAGTCGTCAAGCAAGTCAACAAGTGAGTCCCCCTTCAAAAATCCCTTACACGTAACTAATTCTTTCTAGTCTACACTACTTGACATTAACATAAACAGTCTATATATTCATGGATGCGGCGAACAGGGCCGCACTCCCATGGACAGCATCCCTAACACATGCGTGGAAGATTTAAAATTTGAGCACAATTACCCACTTTCTGTTTTTTCAGCAATCACTTTATTATCTACAGGGTGTCCCAGAATAACGTGTACAACGGAAGGCAGGTAAGCTAAGTCACTTATTTCCGAAATCGCTTCGTTTTGCCGTTAAATGGCCTCAAAGTTCGTGAAAATTTTTTGAATTTTATAGATACTTAAAAGTAAAATTAAGAGCTGAAATTTGGTGAGAACTTTTTCCAATGTTTAGAACAATATTTCGTCAAATGTACGTTTCAAACGAAGCACCCTAATATACAGGGTGTTCCACTGGGAACTGCGTCGATCAACATCTAAGAAAGTACGGCTCCGAAAAATTTGAAAATTTGCCAACATGGCAATGTCCCTGGAGCGAACACAACTAAAATATGTAGAACTCTCCGGCACTTCCGGTTATACTGGAAGTCGACACCAACTTTGTTATTTTAAATGGGACACCCTATATATTATTGCATTTTCGTATTCTACGTGAAATTTGAGGGTCATTTTATTAAATATTCCCTATGCCTAGGAGTTATAGATTTTGAAATATTAATTTTTAAAGACAAAATTTGACAGGTGCAAGGGTCCGCGGAGATGCTAGTAATTCTTTTCAGGAGCGTGATGTCAAGTGGATTTTTGGTACCTGTAAAGGGCATAGGTAAAATTACATTATGGTATACCAACAAATTAAAATATTTAATACTAGGTGTTTCATTTTTGCCGTTAAATTTTGATATCACCAAACAGCTATAACTTTGTTACGGAGTACCCTATATTTTTTCTCTATTTCCTTTCAAGCCACATAATCATTGTTGGTTGCCGTTACTACGTTTGAAGATATTTGCAATTTTCTATTTTTTTGGGCAGTTTTTCTGGTATAAGACCTGTTGTCAAATTGGCCATGACACTCCAAAAACATTTGAAATAACATGACATTTGTCAAGTTGTCAAATTATTGTTATGTCTGTGATAGTTTTTGCCGAAAATTGAAATAAAAATGCCTGGGGATCGTTTAAATTATACTAATGAGGATTATTTTAATTTGTTTGTTATTTATGGAACATGTGACAAAGTAATTTCAAGAACATGTAGAGAATCTGCTGCTTTTTTCCATAGATAACGAACAAATTAAAATAATCCTCATAATATAATTTAAACGATTCCCAGGTATTTTTATTTAAATTTTCAGCAAAAACTATTACCAGACATAACAATAATTTGACAACTAACTTGTTAAATGTCAAGTTATTTTAATTGTTTTGGAGTATTTCTGGTCAAGGCCAATTTGACAACAGGTCCGATACGTGAAAGTGTCCGAAACATAGAAAATTGCAAATATCTCTAAAAGTAGTAACGGCAACCCTAACAATGCTTATATGGCTAGAAAGGAAATTTCAATCTGTATACGGCAGAGTAAAACAATACAGGGTGTTCCATTTAAGCTAACAAAGTTATAGCCGTTTGAAGTTATCAAAATGTAACGGCGAATATGAAACACCTAGTATTAAATGATTTAAGTTGTTGGTATATCATAATTTAGCGTTACCTATGCCATTTACAGGTACCAAAAATCCGCCTGATGTCACGCTCCTGAAAAGAGTTACTAGCATCTCCGCGGACCCTTGCATCTGTCAAATTTTTTCTTTAAAAATTAATATCTAAAATCTATAACTCCTAGGTATAAGGAATATTTAATAAAATGACCCTTAAATTTCACGTAGAATCCGAAAATGCAATAATATATAGGGTGTTACATTTAAAATAACAAAGTTGGCGTCGACTTCCGGTATATCCGGAAGTGCTGAATAGTTTTAGATATTTTAGTTGTGTTCGCCTTAGAAACATTGCAATGTTGCCAAATTTTCAAATTTTTCGGAGCAGTATTCCCCTGTATATTTATATATATTTTTTTGTATCACTAATCTTTATTTTTAATACACACATTGAAATAAACGGTTATAATTCATTCATTAGAGTTACCTTCACAAAATGATAAGCAATACCGCAAGTGAAAATGATTTAAAATAAACGTGTTACGAATAAAGTACTCCAGATTTATGAAAAAAAAACCAGAGGTTCGACAACAAATCCACAGTCCACGTTAGCAGAATGGCAACGTACTCACGTCTTCAACACTCAAGTAGAACTGTCGGACAGTTACTGTCCTCAGTCATCAGTACATCTCTGTACTTCTTCTCACTCGTCAGGTTAAATTATTCTTAAAGGAACCGATCAAATTCGTTACCTTACAGGTATTCCTTTATTCCTACGTTGAGTGACCTGCGTGTCCCTCCGAACCCAAGCTTGCCATCATAAAACTAGGGAAAACACGCAACCGGATTAAGTCATAAATAACTATTTCTAAGTATTATTCTAATTACGTTATAAATCTGAAAGACTCGGTCCCCGAGAAAGACATCTCCAAAACCCTGACTTACTATGCAGGTACCTACTGTTTTCTTGTGTACTGCTGCTGCAGAGGAAAGATTGAAAATATAGTAATATAGTTAGTTCTAATTCTTCATTTGGAATAATTCTACGTATCTATCTTCCAAGAGATTTTGTTTCTCTAAAGCGTCGCTCAATGTCGTAAAATGCAACTTGAGATGGAATTGGAAACCCGGGATGCAAACGAGTATAGTCGGGGCGCGCTGCATTCACATTATTATTATTCTTGTAAAATAAACGGATAACTTCAAATTTTTCGTTCCCACTAAACATTATTTCTTTGCTAAAATAGTTTGTTATAGGAAATAAATTAATGATGATAAATAAACTTCTGTCAAAGTCATATGTTGGTTCTGCGTGCCTCCTCCATAGCCACTGCGATCCGTCAGACATAAATATCCCTCCTGTTTCAAACAGGAATCCTGAATCAAACAGTAACATATTATATATTTATGAAAAGAGGAAAATTTTACGAAGCTAAATATGTACTAATATACAGAGTGACCCATTTGAAAGCGGACCACCCTCATAACATTTTTATTTATGGAGCGAACGAAATGTTTTTTGAAATGTAGAGGGGGAAAAGATGTATTATGGGGCCAAGCGGCGTCTAGTTTTTTTTTAAACTAAGGCCTACTAGATCATATTCAGAGGCTGAAAAATCCAAAATCCATATTAGCGATTTTTTTTAGAAAAACCACTGGATTCGGCGTCCCCTGAAATGGATCTGTACCAAATTTCATGACAAAATATTCAACATTAACGATTCTACGGCTAAATTGCTTTCAAATTGTTTATTATGCATTTTATCTAGCAACCCATGCGATAATAAATCAATCACAACAAATATTTAATAACAACATTTAATAGACATATCAAAATACAATAAAACAAACAGAAAAATTAACGAGAAATTAACATAAAATTTACAAAAAATACAAAGAAATAAAATTAACACACATGAATTAACTTTAAATTCTGGATTTTTCAACTAAATCTCCATTTAATTGAATGAATATTTTTGTAAATGTTGCCTCGTCACTAAAAAAAATTAATAAATAATGTCGATCCCACAGTTATTCATAATAGTGGCAATTTTTGTTTTATTTAAACATGCTATAATAATATTGCTCCATAGTGATGAACAATATTCCTAATAGCAGACTTTGCAATTACTTAAGTCGCAGAAGACTGAACAAAAGACGAATATGTCAAATTTATTAGCTCAATAGTGAAATTTACGTATTGTTCCTGAAGTGCACTGCCAAAAAGTATGACTCTGTAATTTAATGATAAGATTGAAATAGTAAAACTTTGTTGTGACAGAGACAGGTCCAAAAGTTAATAACAGACATCCAGAACTTCAAAATATTAGCAAGTCTACCGTTGGGCAAGTGAGCAATATTTTTAATGGACCTACAGTTACCACGGGAAACAATCAGGATAAAACTTAAAAAATACAATAATATGAAGCCTTTCAAAGCAAAATTTCTCCACACCTTAGAAGAAGGTGATATTGATAAACGAATGGAATATTGCCTATGGTGAGGAGAATACCTTAATTACAGAAATTTTCTAAAAAAAAAATTGTTTACGGACGAGGCAACATTTACAACCAATGGGACAGTAAATTCACATAACACGAGGCATTAGGCACAAGAAAATCCGAATGGGTAATAACTAATAATCAATTGTTTTTTCCTAATGTTGTATTAAAAAATAAAAAGTCATAAAAAAACTAAATTATGGTTATTTAGGTTAGGTACAACATTGCCCTCCGCATTAAACAAAAAACTAAATAAATATTTAAGTTTCTCTTTATCAATAGTTCCAGTTTCCCAATTGCCATGTTATTGAACAAAAATATAATCAAAATACCAAACAAATATTTCTGTTGGATGCTCTGTATCTCAAAAAGCAAGCCGTTGCGGACTCATGTTCATATGATCTTTTTATCTTAAAATTAGTCAAAGATTCACCATTTAAAGTTTTAAAGTACTTAATAAACATCCTGTATATTAATCAATTACTATGAGGCATAATTTTCTAACGACTCACTGTATACACAGTTAATTATACTAATTTTCTTCTGTTGGCAAAACTGTGACAGTTGCAAGTTTTATTGCAAAGTATGCCGACATGATATCAGTAAGATTATGAGGTCAATAACAAATACGACATGGATGAATGTTTGTACACAGAGAAGACTGGTAAGCAGCTTTGACGGCATAATTTCTATTTTTTCTAGTTTTTAGAAATACCCAAGTATATTTTTTACGATGTTAAATAATGAGGTGAGTTCAAAACCTGAATTTATGAGCATATTTGTAATATGAAATATGTTATTCGCACGATAATTCCCAAGATAATGATAAAATAGCTTTCGTATTACTGAATCACATGCTAAAAATGTGTGTAAAAATTTAATATTTTAAAGATTTATTGGTTACTCTAAACGAAGATTAATATTGATAAAGTTATGTATCTAATGTAAACCTTGGATCAGCCAAAAGGTGGCGCTTCAAGGATAATAATACCAATACGTACCTAATAAAGAAATATACTCAAAGCAATCAGTATCACTCCTCAATAAACTCTTTAATTTAGAACTAGGCAAACGGTTTCTAATAAATAATTTTATTTCTATATTTTAAACATATTTAACACAACTAACTAACAAAAACAATTTTGGATACGTTATACAAATTAAAAAAATTTTGACCTAGAAATACAACAAAATAGAATCGTAGAAAATACAACAGTAGCCAGCTTATTTACTTACTAGTAAATTTGATACATTACTTTGAAATTTGTACAAATTTAATAAAACTCTTAGATAGCAGTTGTTTTAGACAATCTCTCAAATTGGTTTCTAGCATCAACTGGGCTGAGGCTTGGACTTAAAACGGGACTCAAGGTAGGACTCGTTACGGGACTTACGACAGAATTCGTGTTGGAGGGAAAGAAAACATCGTCATCCGGCACTTTTTCTTCCTCTATCGCCTTTTCCTCGAGGAAATTTAGACAGCTGACAATGTAGTTCTTGCATATCTTCACCTGCTCTATGGTGTAATCATCGGAAGGAGAAAAACTGTTGAGTGTCGTCATGTTCTGGCTTAATTTATCTTTAATCCTGTTGTACTGAGTCCCGTGCTTTTTTCCTACGAAGTCAGCGATTTGGTACTCCGTAGACTGCAAGGTCTCTATGATCTCATTGATTCTAGCGTTTATTTTCTCACTGTCGCGTTCAATTTGCACTTGTGGTTCTTGTATGGAAACTGTGTTAGATGACCTTGCTGCTAGTTCGTTCATCATAGCGCCTGGCATGACAGCAACCCCGTGCTTCAAAATAGATTTCCTTTTCTCCTCGGGACTTTTCACAACGTTGTTGTTGTTGCTGTGGATGTCGGCTTGAGTAATCTCACCAGGTACGACATGGACAAACTTCAGTTCCACCGTGTGTCTCTTTTCTGTACTTCCCGCTAAGTTGTCGGCTTCATTTGCAGCCTCTTCCTCAACTTCTTCTACAATTACGTCGTTATTTTCACTCGTAACCTCTTCGCCTTCTTTGTTCTTTTGCTTTTCTTTCTTCTTTTCCGCTTTCTCCTCCCTCTCCCTCTCTTTTTTAATTGCCTTTTCTTGATTTTCCTTCAACTTGTCCTCGAGTGCGACGAAAGCTTCGTCTATTCTCTTAAGCGTGGAGTCGTATATGGCTCTTATTTGTGGTTGGAGATCTCTGGACTTCTTTATCAGTTCGATCCGCAAATGATCGATTTCCGTATGTAAGGCTTGGTAGTCTTCATCGTTATTCACTCCTCTAAAACGTTTTATGCTTGGAAAGAGTTTGTCGACCCTTGCTTTTATGGTATGGATGGTTCTTCGCTGGGATCTGCGCGCGACTGTATTTCTTCTTTCCAGTGGCGACTTCGAGACTGACAATCCCATTTTTCTGAAGAGAAAAAAAGAAAATTATTTTAATACACCAGTTATCGATAATAATTAGAGAATTGCAAAATACTCATACTCATAGCAATTCCAAAATCTCTAAAATTCTATCCGACTGCTTTATTAACTCAGATCCTGTTTTAGAAATAACACAGAATAATTGGAAAATTCAACTTCCATAAGGCTTTCGAGACTCGAACAGGGAATCGAGAAGAATATTAGTTGAATTCAATATACTCAAATGAGGCTTAGCTTGATTTAAGGATTGCTGCAAAACAAACAACGGAATAGAAAGTGTCAGGATAGGATTGAGGTGTAGATAGCAAGAAAGCTAAACCATTGGAATTTTACCTATGCTACTCCAAGTACAAATTTACAAAGGGCAAGAAACCAACATGGTTACACGTTGTTGGATATCAGAACATAAAAACATTAGGTAATAAAAACGCAAATGTACTTGCAAAAAGTTACACGAAATAAATTCTAAGATCAGATGTAGCGTTTGGCATTCCTGACAATGGTACACTAAAGATAGGTCTATGAATAGTATTGCAAATATTCAAGACCAGAACTGATACAAGTGAAGGAAATGTGTTTTCTCATGCGTATAAAGATAGTATAAATGAGGTAGAACAGGATCTTGTCCAGGGAAGAAGCATCGGCGTAATATGAAGAGAATCAAACTCAATATTACAAAGGGGAAATCCATCAAACAGGAGATAATGGAAAGTAAGATAAACGTACTTTTGCATGTCTTACAAAGGGGAAATCTACAATCCATTAAACAGGAGATAGTGGAAAACAAGATAAGCGCACTTCTTTTAATAACTTTTTAATTATTGACCTTAAATACGGGAAAATGAAAATGCGCACAAATGTTGAGATCTCCCATATCCAATATATCTATATTTATGAAAAAACTGCAATCAAATAAATAACAATGATGTTTACCATATTGGTACTGATGTTGGGTTTCATCAGTATTATTCTAAAGCCTTAATAAACATCAAATTCTTGATGAGATAAGATAAATAAAAGTAAATATTGGGTAACGGGTATGACTTAATGTCTTAAAACAATTTCTATTTAATGATTAAAATTTTTTACACACGAATTTAGATATATGAAATAAATCTACCCACTTTTTAAATCATTTAGACAATTTGTCTGCATAAAACTGATGTTTGTTGGTGGATATTTTTATATATGGGAATTTTCTTCTATGATGATACAGAGATGTAAAAACAAGAAAAACAACTACTAAATTTTCTGATTTTCTGATTGTGTCAACACCAGGTATATATATAGTAGTATGAGATATAGGTTGTGTAACATGGATTTAGCAAGGTACACCTCTTTTCATAATCATCAATATATTCCATGGAAAGAACAGAAACAGGCAGATTCTGATATTTGTGAAAATAGTTTCAATTTTCATTTGAGTGTATTTTTGTTTTGTTTTGCTTGAATTTGTAGAATATTAAAAACATTTACGTATTTATAATATATTACCCTTGCTTCATTGACGCAAGATACTACTTGTATTTAATTGTTCTTCTATGTTTTACATCATTAGTAAACATTATAACCGGTTTTAAAGATAAGGTGATATTAGTCAAACTATTCACTATTTTATATTCATCTATCTATATGTCTAATGTTACAGTAATCATTGATCCATAACTTTGTCATATACCAAGACCTCAATTCAGCGCCTCCAAAAAGAAGTGTACTTTCAAATGGGCGTTCCTATTTTCATACTTGCGAAATGCTTAGTATTATCTCTATGATGTCACTACCAACGAAATCGTCATGAGACAAATAATTTAAAACAATAAAAAATCAAATACTTACATAAAGTCAAATTGTATACCAGTCAATTATCTTCACATTAAGATCCACTTTGTCTTTTGCTAGTTTGTTTCAACAGCAATTAGTCATAAGACATTGCACTTGTACAGGAAACTCTAAACTCACTCTGAATACTGTCAGAGATAAAAAAGTAGATTAGTAACGATAAGGTTATCGATAATTATGTTTATTAATCAACACTAGCGGGAAACGGCGGGTTTGGAACCTTTTGTTTTCTGCGTCAACGCTGTCTATATATGCAAGTATTTCTCGATTTGTAACATAACAGTTAAAGATAGCGAGTAAAGGGAATAGCGTCATAAGTTGGTTAGTTTTAGGCGTCCGTCTGAGGTCATAAAATGAAAGAGATAGAGTAAGTACCATTTAAAAAAGTTAGTAGATACTGTCTCTTATCTCGGTTTGATAAATTTTTATTTTTCTCTAAAACAAATGCAGTCTCAAAAACATTGGAATAAATGTAAATTTTTAGATAACACAGTCATATCGTAAATAGAATATGTTATTTATTTATTTACAGTGAGGTATCATAATTTAAAAAAAAAATCCAATAATAGACAGGAACAAATAAACAAATAAACATAACATAAACCGAAAACAAATATAAATAAAAATAAAGCTTAATTGAATACACTTTACAATAAAACAGAGTTTTAATCCCATGCTAATAGTTATTTCTAGGATTCTCAAAATTCAAACAAATTTCGATAATTTTTTTAAGGATATTCATACCAGTACATATGACATGCTCTTTCACAGTTGCGGTTATAGGTATAATAAATTCCGAACATATTAAGCTTATCTTCGTTTTTGAACATTTACTGTAATTTTTTTAAATATAATATTCATTTGGAGTTTTGGTTATTCATATGCGTTTTTAAGAATTAATTTGTCATAATGTTTTAATTTTGACGCAACAACTTATAGAATTATGTATGACCAGGTGATGGAGATTAAAACTCTAATGTTTTATTGTAACGTGTGATGATAATAGTTGAAATAACTAGGTGGATTTCACAAGGTCTAACGACACTTAGAGTGTACGATAATTCAATAAACATAGAAATCTAAATAAAGAATTTGAGAGACATTTGGAACGAATACATTGAAGATGAATTTTTCGAGATAAAACATCCGAGTCTGGTTCGCGCTGCAATACAGTATTGGGGGTTATGAAGGCTTGCAAAAAATGTAATAAAATTTCCAGGGTCGTATTTAAAAAAATGAAGTTGATGATGGTCCGGGAGAGACCAAATGTTACATATAAAAATTGATTATGCCATTCGGTAGAGGGCAAAAAGTTGCCATGAGAAAGTGTTCTTCTTTTTTCAATATCACCTCAAACAAGGCTGAAATTACACAAAATCGGATTTCCAAAATTTCGGTTTTTTTCAAATATTTCGAAAACTAATCATATTAGCCTTTTTTTAAAGGCATAATGTTGGTCCTTTGATTATGCAACTTTCCTCCATTTAAGCTATTTCGTATCTCTTACCGTTTCCGAGATCCCTGTAGTGAGAAGCGAATTTGTAACAGTCTGTATGTAAATTAGGAAAAATCATATAAATTAGAAATTAGAAAATGTTTCCAGTACGGAAAGTAACGCTCAACATCATTTATAAAAAATAACAAAAACAAAAGTGGGCCAAGATGTGAACCCTGTGGTGCACCAATGTTATACATAAGAAGATGTTCAATTATTAAATTTAACACAATACATATTAAGTATAAGATGTGATATAAATCATTTTAGCAGATTACTGTGCATACCGATATTTTGACGTTCAACAATAATACTCTTATTGTTTATGTTGAGCTTTTGAAAAAATCGGCATCTACTAAACTTGTTTTCTTTTTTGACATTAGTCAAAAATATTTTGTACCACAGGGACTAAATTAATACCTCCAAACGACCCTTAAAGAATCCATGATCAGTATTAAAATGTAGCTCAGTAGAAAAACTGCTTTAAAAAATAAAACCTTAATTATTGCCTCGAGCAATATACCAAGAATAATTGAAAGTATGTATATATAAATTATAAATAGGGAAGTAATTGGCTATCATGTCTTTATTTCCCGATTTAAGAGTAGGTGTAATTTGAGCATGCTTTCAGGTTGAAAAATATTTATTTTACTGAAAGTATATGGATTGACACACTTTTTGAAAAATAAATAAAGTAAATTGTCTAGTCCGGCTCCTGTATCAACATCTAAATTATTAATTCGGTGTTAATATCCTCATGTTTAATCTCATTTAAAGTTATAGTAGTAATAGTTCATTAAAGTCTATGCAAGAGAAGTTACCAGAAGTTTCAAGGGAACTGAAAAGTTTCCATTTAATAAGTTTTGCCTAGAAAAGTTTCTTAATGTAGTTAAAAAAGGCATTTTTATTAGTGCCCATATATTTGAATACATGTATTCTACGTAGAATATTAAATTTCCTTTTATACCCGTATTTTCTTAGAAATATGTTTATGATTCTCTCCCTCAAATAAAATTTCATCCCAAACTGTTTCTAAGAAGTTCCGAGTTAAACATATTTTATTTTTCATTTTTCTTTTTTTAGGGAAGATATTACATTTCGTATCGACTTCCGGCTGTTCCATGTTCAAAGTCAGTGTTCTACAATATAAGACAACATACTCACCAAACTTGTTTTATCCTTCGTAGCCAGGAACGACTGTTCGTACGTTACAAACAATTATTGTTATCATAACTTTAGTCAAACAGTTATGTCTTATCATTTAAATGATCTTATTTTAGGAAAAGCAGGAAATTTACAGCTTTTATGGATTTGTCTTTTTCAAGTTTTTTTAGTAGTATTTTTTAAAGACGTAATTCAACAACAAATAGAAAACAAGAGTAACTTTTTTCCGAAAACTGTTTTTAAGTGCTCTATGATTTTTCAAAAATTGGAAGTGAACTATTGTTTTTGTTTTGATTAAGGATAAATGAAAATGTTTACTTCAAATTTGGTACAGTGTAGTAGAAATGGTGCGTTTTCTATTGATTTAAATGTATGTTATAGGCAGAAAACCAATTTAAAGACTTTGTTTCAGCACGCCGCATATCCTCTTTCACTTTATCCAGATTATTTCTTGCATTTAATACTGTTGTATCATCTGCAATAAATTAGAAAATCGTTCACTTAAGTTAGAAACCATAATGGCCCGATGACTGAACCCTGTGAGACTCCTAGAAAATCTTGAGCGGTGTCGATATCATTATGTAATTTGTTCTCTTTCTGTTATACAGTGTATTTCTGAAATATGTGCGTTTTTTGAAAAGGGTGATAGATGGCAGGAAAATGAGCAACTTTATTAAACAATTGATGCCCTTATTTTCGAGAAAATTTATTAAGAAAATTAATCATAAATGTAAGCCGACCCTGTGCATCTTGTGCACATACGTTGTGTGTCGTTGTTAGCCGACATATAAAACTAACAGTACCGTGTGGAGTGTACTACGGAACTAATTATTACACACCTCTTATGTACAGGGTGATTCACTATATTTTGACCCCCCTTTAACTTTTTTGTTTTTAGAGTAATAAAAAAATGTGTAATATAAAAGTTGCAGGATTTTTTATGAAGTTTTCAAAAATGACAGTAGAAAAATAAATGATGTTGAAACAAAATGGCCGCGGATGTTAAGTTTGTTAATTTAAACGGAACACCATATATATTTTTTCATGTTTGGATCGAACCTTCCTTATTGAGCATAGTCATATAGGGTTTGTTGGTCCCATCTCTAACAATAAGCGAGATACTATTAAAAAACGAAAAGAAGGTTTTCTATCAGGAAAATTAGACATTTTGTAAATGTTAGACCTCTTTCAGACATTTCCGCCTTTTTTACAGTTACGTACGTATTTACAGATTTAATTGTAATATATTTTGACGTATCGGACATTTTAGTATTGCATCTTGCATCTTGTACAATATGTGTATTATAATCTTATTATCTGTTAATCCTTCATAATGCTTACATTGTAAAACAAAATTCCCTTTCACTCACTGGAAATTTATCATACCTATACATTGAGAGTTGTAGAATATCCAATCCGAGTTGTGTATCGTAGCAATAATATATCAATTGTTTCAGATATTTTATTAATGAATAATTAGTTAATACAAAAATATAAGAGATTGTATCACTTTTGTTGACATTTCTTCCATTTTTAATCTATCATTTTTCAGTTCTCTTTCTTCTTGTACTGAAACAGAAACATAGCTGTTATAAAGCTTAAATAATGAAATGGTAAAAATCAATTTTCCAAAATTTAAAAACTGAATAAAAGTAAGCAATGCCATTACATTTTTTTAATTTTGGGAACTAAATATGAAAGAAGTACTATGGTTTCTTACTGAGGTTTACTTACAACAACATCCACAATTTTGGGCTTTGTATCTTCATTTATTGGTCCTAACTGGTACTCCTCATTGAGAGTCTCTAATATATCCAATGTGGACAAGTTTTGCTTCTGACCTTTCTCATCTTCACTGTACGCATCTTTGAAACTTTCATCATCGCTATCACTCTCGTATATTGAACTTAAGGAGGCTGCGGAAACTTCATCCAAGGGCCTTCCAAAATAGTCACACTCTATTCCTTTTCCATTCACGTCAATAAATTCGAAGTTGCAGGACTTGGTGTAATCTTCTTTCGGATCCACTCTAGCTAATCTATCCGACACACTTGTCTGTTCTTCTAATATTGAATCTAACGATCTACTCCCACACTTACTATCTAAAAAGTTGTTAAAGGTGGAAGACACACGCTTCTTCTTTTTCCTATTGCCTTTTGTTTCAAGTCTCTTCGGTATCTTCGTTACTTCTACCTGAATTGCCTTTTCTTCCTCTTCCTTCTTATCCAGATACAGTTCCCAAGCTTCCAAGGACTCGACGGAGATGGCAGAAGCTACCCTCCTTTTTTCTCTTTTGGTTACCGCTTCTTCTGGATTTGAAAAGGCTTGTACCTGTCTCTGGACATAAGAATAACGTTTCAACTCATCAGGACTAACATTTTTTTCGTCATCTAGAGTCCTAATTCTTTGCTCGTGGTAGATGATTTTCCTGATGCTATTTACAATCTCTTTTAGGATATCTAACACTTCTTTGTAGTGGAAATCCTTTGCTTTTTCCAAAGCTAGTTTGATTTGTGTAGCCTTTTGGTCTATCAGGAGCTTGTGACAGTCAACTATATTTCTCTTTATTTCATCCTCTAGTTTTTCAGTGTTGTCTTGCAAATTCCTACAAAGTTCAGTCAGTGCAGACGACATTGTGGCTGACCTGCAATTATATTGTTCAAAATGAGTTAAAAATAAATGAAATTCTTCCACGTGGTATAAAATTAAAAATAAGAAACTAATGTTCGTATTTCAATCTTGCATCACAAAAGTTTGTTTATGAACAACTTACATATTGGCGTTTATTTCCAGGAACTCCAATTATATGTAGTTAATGTTTTGAAAAATCAAACTTTCTTCATTATCAAAATCTGTAATGACGTTTCTATTTTACTTAGGTCTGTTAGTTTAAATTTGTTTTCCGACTGCATTCATCTATTCACAGTCGTATTTAGCAAAAACGGGAGTATTGCGTCATTACGTGAGAAAAGAGATGTTATTGTGATGTAAGTGAGATCTAGTCGATATGAGAGCTATCCGCAAACGAATGGTATGACGTCATAACATGGCCTCTGTGCGTTTTTCCATGCTCCGCCTTTTTTAATTATTTTGGGGGAGATTGTTGAAAAAAAATTTTGATTTTTTTGCACATAACTTAACTACAATGTGCACTTTCTGAATATGAATTTAATAAATATGTTAATTTAGCCAATTATTGATGTTTTGATATTTTAAGTATAAGCATGCAACAGATATTTATAGTTTAAGGTAATATAATTGCTTTCTGAGTAATATTCGCATTTTATATGTATAGAAAAAATATTTTACAATGTTTCTAAATGAAGTCATCTGGTACATTTTGCAACTGGACGAAAATGTCATTTTTTTCGCGTGTGTACAATGAAAAAAGGGTTTCATCTCAAGTATAAAACAATATTTTTCTACACATATCTAATTGAATATAAATATTCAATTTCTAGAAAAAAAAGTGTGATTTTCGTATGGACTAATACAAGACGCAATCCCTATTTTCAATATATGAGTAAAAAAATAATTTACCTTTATTTTAATTCGCAAAGAGGCCACATTTTAAACTGTCGAACTTGAATCATCATTTTCTGAGAAACACCAACTAAATTGAATCACCATTCACGTTTCAATTTCAATATATCTTACTGTTTCTACTATTTTTACATAAAATTGAATAAACGATATGAAATTACATCTTGTCTATTCTTTATTCAACGGGAAACTATACGTACAGTGTAAAAATTGAACTAGAAATAATATTTTCTATTTTATATAAAATAGTTATCGTCTCTAATTGCAACAAAAACAAATTGCTTGTAATTATTATAACCTATAAAAGGCGTCCTTTGTTTAAAACGACAAAGAGCAGAGCTGAACAAGCGTTTTACATTAAATTATTAACAACATAAATATTTACTATTTTTAATGGGACAGACTGTAATGGAAAAAATATTAAAAATCACTTACCTTCGCAAGCTACAGTACGCCTCACGAATTAGACATTATTTGTTAATGACTAGCTTATCTGGAAAGATTGCTCTTATCTGGGTTAACGAAATTTGCGACAAATGCGATCATATTTTTGTTAACGTGGGAATCGAATACGCTTGAACTGTAAATGTGTCGGTCCATAAAAAGTAAACTTTATACAATTTAATTGAAACGCCATAAATGAAAATTATTGGATTATATAAAATAAAAATATGTTTTTAATATATCAGAATGTTTGAGGATGAAGAATATGTAGGGTTTTTATTTCAAACAAATTCAATTTTTTTTTGCTAAAAATGAAGTATTTTTTTTTCTTTTCTGAAAGCTTTGTGTCCTTGTACAATTCTACTTTTGAATGTGTTTTCATATTAATTATATTTTTACATATTTTTAGTTTTTAATTTCCAAATATCCAAGTCCTAGAAAAAATATTGTATACTCTTTCTAATGACATCAATTCTGAATATAAATGACATTACTTTTCATAATGATATAAAAAATTTTCGATGACATGAACTTGGAGAGTAACTTTATCAAAATAAGTTCTAGGTGCTGTAGAACTTTTTTTCAAATAAATCGTGCTGGTTAATGAGAAATTAGAAAATAATTACATATCTTCTATTATTACACATACAAGGTGTTAGTAAATAAGTGCGACAAATTTCAGGGGGTGATTCTACATGAGAAAATAATGGCAGTTTGCTTATAAACGTATGTCCGCAAATGATTCGTTTTCCGAGATACGGGGTGTCAAAGTTTTTCTTAAAA